ATTGATTCAGCCTTGGTCTTTTTGCCTGCCTGTACTTAGCCCTAGGGATAGGTCTATACAGTCAACTTACTGTGCCCCAGAGCAGAGGTCTTGAGAACTCTGTGCTGCTCTGGGCAGGCTAATTCCTAAATTAGATGCACCGTAGCTACTTCCATGTGGCATTTGGGGTGTAAGAGGGGGAAGCTAATTAGTACAGGTCTATGCCAGTTAGCCTCACTAAGCTACTTCGCCTCATTGTCATGCAGCTGTGGTTACACTGCTTCCAGGTTAGGAAGCCGGTTTGCTGGAGCAATGCAACATGTGTGAGACAGTAAATGTATTATATAGCTGAAGTCACATTCGTAATTTAAAAAATGCTGTCCTTAGGCACCATAGAAAGTTTTGCCTTATGACAACTTTCAAATTAGAGCAGCATGTTAATATTTTAGCTGACTAGTGATATTAGTGGTGAGGTGGCATAGAATAGCAAAAACTTAGTATAGCATGGTCCACTTCCAAAATGTGATGATCGGGGTTTGGATTTTATCATTCCCTCTGCCTTTTTCTGACTGGGTTTAGATCATGGTCTTTATTTAATACTGATCAATTATACTAAAATCTGGGTATGGACAAATGTACATTTTAGCTGCTCCAAAAAGGGAGGTGAAGCTGCTGCTTGAGAACACACAGAAGCTGTTATGCTCTAACTGTTAGAACTGCATGCTCCTGTAGCCATAAAAGTTAGTTAAGTCACTTTAACTTTCAACCTAAAGGAATAGGGGTAAGTTAGAGCATATTTGCTACACTTGTATCAGATCATGTGGATGTAACAGTTACAGTATAACAGCTTGTATTGGTATCTTCTGATAGTGATAACATTGATAGGTCTATCTCTACCAGTGATTCTCAACCAGTGTGCCAGGGCACCTTAGGGTGCCGCAAGATTGTTTTAAGGGTGCCACACAATGTTAGCACTGTTAGGTGTGAAAACATGATTCAGAAGATAAACCTAGAAGTTTCAAATAGGAAAACTTGGTGTTAAAAACATTCTGACCTATTGTGATCTGAGTCCTTTGCAACAGAAAAATGGCTTTATTATGCGTCTAGTCAAAAAATGAGAGAAAACTAAGACCTGGCATTTTCACGGGGTGCCTTGAATCGAGAAAGGTTGAGAACCACTGATCTATATCCTCTTAGTCAAAATCCTTATCCCCATTCAAGTTTATCATCAGAACCTGCCACTTTTGTAATGCTCCAAGGAAACTTCGATTTGATAAAGGCTAGGCAGGTGAAATTTCTAACATTTGCACACAACCTACTGGTTTTGTTTTGTTTTTTTATCCCTAATTGCATGTTTCCTTTTCCTTGATGAGTTGCTTGCTGATCTTACACACCAATTATGTCTTGTCTTCTAGATTCCAAGCTCTCTCGAACAAGAGCTGTCACTTTATGTTTACAGCACTTACCAGAATGGAGCTTGACCTGACTTTTTTCTAAGGATTACAACAAATATAAATGTTAAATAATAATACTGCTTTCATATTAAATGTGCTATTTAGTACATGCCATTTATTCTTTTTCTTGGTGTCTGACTAGATTTTAAAAAATTGTTTGGATTCCCTGGTATTTGAATTAGAAGTTACAGATGGCATGGTAGTGAATAGTAAGATTTGACTTGATCATTCTTTTCAAAAGTTGAGACTGCACCACAAAAGCAAAAAAAAAAGAAGTAACACAGCACACTATGGCCACCAGAGACCTAAAAATACCTTTTCTCACAATTTCTGTTGTGAATATAATCTTGGAATACCTTTCTGATGCTGTGTGTATCAGCTCTGCTGATATGGCATCTTTGATATTAAATTAATATTGTTGTAATGTATTTCTCTTTAATTAAAAGAGAGAACATGCCTCTAGGAAATTTCCTAACAATACTCATTAGTAATAAACAGATTAAGTCCTTACCAGCTAATCAGCAAAATAAACTTCTAAGAGTTCTGAAAATGTCATGAGATAACACTATCATAATAAGAGTGGTTAGAAACATTATGGAATTCACAGTGCTGTTTGACTAGTAAGCAAGTAATGAAAAAGGTGGGTCAAAACTACAAAGTTTTAATTATAAACTTCCCCAAAGTTTGGAACTGTTTGGACCCATTTTTAACTACAATTTTTAATTGTAGAAACATCTTTAAGGCACATTATATAATATTGAGAAATGTGTTGGTATGACTAGTAACATTATGATCTTTGGAAAGAACATTCTATAGAAATGCAAAGCATTCATATCCACTGTGAGTCTCCACAGGAACTTAGTTGGAAATACAATAAAATGAATATGATGTAACAAAAGACCACAAATAAAAAAATAGATGTTTATGCATACCAAGGAGGCTTTCAGATACAGCTTAATGCAAGTTGAGTATTGGTGGGACTACAGTTTGAAGTTAGAGTACAGCCATTATCTATTAATTTTGTTGGTTTGGGGCTTTCTGTGGTGGTAGAAGTAATCACTGAAAGTGTATTGTTACCAAAAGGTCATTGTGAACCTGTTCCATAAGTGCATTAATCATTAATAATGGCAAGATGAAACTTGTTAAGTTCTGAGAGTATTTATTACATTAAAAAATAGATTTCAGAGGTTTAGGTGGCATTGTTGCCTCTAGACCTAAAGGCAAATTCTGTCTTGGCTTGCAGGTGAAAATGTAGTGGCTTTTCTCATCCTTGTCCACACATGCTTATATCATATCATAAAGACCAGCCCTCTAAAAAGATGCCTAGAGTGGGAGACCAGGAGCCTCAAGACTGAGGCTCATTGGCAGGATTATGTGGAGAAACTGGCGCAAACTCTGCTTGCACTTTAAGGCTAGTGACGGAAGTGCCACCTGGCCCCCCAGCCCCACGGTGGGGGAGGAGGAAGAGGGGGAGAGCCCTGCCCACCTCAGCAGCTCCATAACAGTTCAGCCTGGCCTGGGCATGGGAAGCCAGGAGCAATCCAGGTGCACAGCTCCCATGGCCCCAACTTGAGCCTCAGCTGGCTGGGAAGGGCCCTGTCCTCGTAGCCTGGCCTATCTGCACCTGCCCTCAGCAGCACCCACAGGCCGGCCTGGCTCAACCACAGCCCTAGCCCCAATCCCAGGCAAAGTGGGTGGATGATGGGGATGGGCCAGGCTAGGCTGTGGGGCCCTTCCCAGCTGGATGTGGCTCAGGCTGGGGCCATGGGAGCGGTGCACCTGGGTTACTCCCAGCTCCCCACACCCAGGCAGGGCCGGGCTGTCACAAAGATGCTGCAGTGGCTAGGGCTCTCCACCTTCTCCTTCTCCCCTGCTGCGGGGTCAAGGGGTGGGGGGCTCTGTGCAGTACTGCCTTGGGGCTCAGGGCTGGAGGGGCACAGTGCTGGGCCCTGCTGTGGGGCAGGGGGTGAAAACCAGCCACAGGAAGCCCTTGGTGGCTTTCTTCCCCAGCAATACAGAGTCCCCTGGCAGGTGGTCTCAGTTGTGGACACTGAGCAAACCCTCTACTCTTTAAATTGTGCTTATATGGAAGGGTCTGGCCAGAGCTCAGGCAGGGGCTGGCTTCCCCCCTACCTCCCTGCTTTGCCTCAGGCCTGGGGCCAGGGTCTGACCATGCCCCTGCTCTTGCTGCTTGACCCTTTGGTGCCATCTGGGGGTCGGTGTCTGGCCACGCTCCTTCCTCCCCTCTGAAAAAGCCTGGCAAGGGCTGCTTCCCACCTCCTGCTCCGGGCATACCTCAGCTGGGGACTGTGCATGCCAGGGTGGAGGTTTAAACCCCTTCCCAATTGTATTCAGCACCTGTGAGGGCCTGGCTACACCCCTCTCCCCTCAGTTCAGCTTCCCTCCAGTCTTCTAGCCACTGCAGAAGGAAGGGAGGGCTTGCTCTAGTGCACCATTTCCCAATCTTTTTTGCCCCACAGCACACTTAACAAAATAAAAAAGCACATGGCCAGCTGGACACTGACTCGGGGGGGGGGGAGGGGTGGCACATGGCCAGGTGGACACTGATGGGGAGGGGTGGCATTCAGCCAGCTGGATGACATTTTGAGTTAGAGCTAAGCCCCCTGCCTGGCTGGAGCCACGCTCCCTGTCTGTCTATGCCTGCAACCCAAAATGCTGCAGCACACATGGACGTGTGTGATGGCACACTAGCGTGCCACAGTACACCAGTTGGGAAACACTTCTCCTCTACTGTTCCCCAAGCTTCTAGCCTGGGCCACTGCAGAAATGTGGCTGGATTTCCAGAATTAAAAGTGAAAGTCTAATCACTTACTTCTCGGTTCAATCTACACAGGTTAGACTAACCTGCAAAGATTGAATCGATTCAGGCTTTTTGAACATCTGTACTTAGCCTACTTCCTTTCGTTAGCACTAAATTTGCATATAGTTTGAAGAGATCTGATTTGGACAGACTCATCTGAAAGAGAGCTGTTGAATTTTGTTCATTTACTCTAAAGATGAATGTCTGTAATTTTTTAGAAGTACTGAGAATGCACAATCCCGTCTCACCTTAAATCGACTTGTACACATCCACAACATGCTGTTACTTGAGTCAGATATGCTTGGTTTCCTTCATGTTGTGAGAAGCCTTCATATGATAGACTGGCAAACAGGTTTTCCAGTGGTGAACCATTTGTGACAGTGACTTCCTTTGCATTAATAGTTATGTGCTATTCAGTTATCTGTGAATTAACACTTTTAATCAAAATAATTCTACAAAATGCTGTTTGGGGATTGGAGAAACAAGTGTAAATGATTTTTTAACAGATAGCGCAATATAAAGAAAAGTTGTAGACTACATAATATATCAGATCAGTCAAGTGATTTATTTTTAAAAGAAGGATGTTACTGTCGTTCATTGAATTGTTAAGTATTATTCCGGAGTGGTGAACTTCAGATCTCAATGCAAAGGGACTTTATCTAATCAGATCTCACTAAAGGATGATATGTCATATGATGATCATAATTTATCTATTCATCCTGCCCTCTTTATCCTTTTTTTTTCAGGATGGAGTAGGTGTAGATGAGAAGCTGTCTTTACGGCGGGTAGCCGTGGTTGAAGATTTCTTTGACATTATCTATTCCATGCATGTGGAAACAGGGCCCAATGGAGAACAAATCAGAAAGCATGCTGGACAAAAGCGAACTTATAAAGCAGTAAGTACAAACAGACAGACCATCATTGCATGTTCTCTTGTAAGAATAATAATTATCTGGACGTAGCTGCAGGATTTGTTTTTCATGGTTGGACTAGAACTATTATACTCCAATACTTTCAGCTTCATTTCTGAGGTCTCTCAATGTATAAGTACCTAAAAACAGAAAGAATAAAAGATTTTAGGGTACAATTTTGTGATGGTGTAATTAGAATCAGCTCTATTGAATGCAATGGAATTCTGCCCACCTGTACCGGCAGAAAATTTAGCCTTTATATTACTATTTGATAGTTTATAAAAATGAAGCTCCAAGCTAATTGTATTTTTCAAAATCATTATTAGATCATATTGCACATATTTTTCCAGTTTAGAAAAACTATCAAGATACTAGAACTTAGGCTGGCTTAATAAACTGCTGTACTGCAGTAGATGTCTGAAATCTCCACTGTATTTTATTTAACAGTGTGAAAACTTACACCTTCCTAAAATCATAGCTGAAAAGCAGTAGATTTAGTGGCAAATCTCTTGACGGGCCAGCTGTCATGCCCAAATGACCTGGGTTCCAAGAAAAATAGTTCTATCTAAATTCCTGAATTGTGCTTTATAGTTTGGACTAGACTCTTTTGGCCAATCTCTGACTTAAAATACTTGTAAATCAATATTTAATGGAGAAATATATTTTGCAAAGACAAAATTTTCTTAAAGAGAACTAATAAAATATTTAGTGCCATTTCCTTTGATCACTGAAATGTACAACCATGTTTGTGTACTAGTGACCTTCCTCCCACAAATGGCCCCACTGTCTTTAGTCACGTGATACAGTCAACCAAGCTTTTGGCACATGAATATACTGGGTTAGAGCAGCAGCATTCAGTAGTTTCCCTTCAGTTAAGGGCTGACCATTGCTTTCCTTTTCTGGAACCACTTTGCCATCTGTTTACAGCTGTAGTAAACTGAAACTTTGCACACCTGTTAGCCCAGATGTAATTAAAAAAAACCCAATAAAAAGGTCAGTTGAGTCATTGTCCACAAAGGGTCAGCAAAAAATATAAAAACTCAACGTTTCAGATACCTGTATGTGAAATCAAGCTATTGAATATAAGAAATGACTAATTTTGTATAATGATCTTTTAGCTTTAAGTGAAATCTTGCAGATGCACACCTCACTTTATTTTATAACACATTACTTCTTGTTAAAATATTTCCTTTTTAGACTGTTTTAGATAGTATGGTATATGCAAGATCTGTGCAACATTTTTATAACTTGACAACAGCAATAGTATTTTTACAACTTGACCTTGGTAGTATTGAGGACTTGCAAAATATAGGGATATGGGAATACAGTTTTAGTCATTGTGACAGACTATATCAAATTTTGTAGTGTTCTTCCTATGTGGACAAACAGTAACTGTCTAAATTAATTTTCATGTGTCACTTTAGCAAGTTCTGTAGCTTGGTCTTCAGTACTAAAAGGCATTACTAAATAGTAGTCTTATTTGAATTCTCCACTAGCTAGTTTTACTAGCTAGAGTGATTAGTTGTAAAGAACAGATACTTGCCTCATTAATTTAAAAAATACTTCATTTAGAAGGATAATACACAAGTATATTGAATGTTATTGCCTATAAATAAAGTACTTTATGGAGTAATCCTGAACATATTTACCAAGTATAATATTTGCCACCATTTACTGACCAATAGATGTCAGCTGGATTGGTCATTTATGTGTTATGAACAGCATAGAAAGGCAGTTAATGTGGTGATGAGAACATTTTGTGTAGATTAACTTGTTCAGGAGTTACATTTGATGTTAATTTTTATTACGCTGGTGACATGAGTTTATTACCTACTTATCAACTGATGCTGCAGCAGTCCAAGTGCAAGTTTCTGTGTAATTACCAACGTTTGAAATATGTGTGCATTAGTTTTATTTATAAAATGCATCCAACTACATGTCACTTACATGTCCCAAGGAAAAAAAAATTGTATGAAAAAAAAGAAAAACTTCAGAGCCAACACATATCAACTCTTGCCACTCTACTCTTAGCTGGGAACTTGATTACATGGAAGAGGCCCAGATTTTGCTGGAATAACTGGGGAAGCAAATTTCAGTGTCCTAGACTCACAACTCAGAACCTTTTGTCCCAAGATGGTTAAATCTAGGGTCTATTGGTTTGAGCAACTCAGCTGACTTTTGTTGCTGTAGTGTGTCCCAGGCAACTGGTTTAAATCATTTAAAACTCTTTACAAAATGAAGCTAGTTCTATAGCTGGTCCAGTACTAGTTGAATCAAAATGGTGAAGAATTATTTTCCATGAGTAAGTATTTGTTAAAGAGTTTGGGCAAACTGTTTTCAGAGGAGAGGTAGTTCACAAACTGCACAGAAGCTATTTTGTGGTTGGTTATTCACAAGTTATGCCATGCTATTAGATGTATGGCACTGCTTCTGGTTCCTGAAAGGATGACTGAAATTTTTTGAGGAAGGAGTGATTAAGAGAAAAATCTGAAAGCCAACTTCTGGTACTTTGTTAGTGTAAATTAATTAATTTGGCGAGGGTAGGGTGGGGAGGGGGGAAATTCAAAAATACTTCCAGAAATTCTAGCAACTCTTTGCATACTTGTAAATAATGAATAGTATGACTCCCACATATAGCAGCAAGTAGTTTATTTGCTTATACAATTCCATGTTCGTGTTTTAATTATTCAATCAGCTGTAGTCAAAAGTATGAATAGTGTCCGAGTCTGATTAGAATAGTAATGATATTGTCAAAGACATAATAACTTCACATAACTATGGTTTGTATTTATGTGGTAAGGCAAGTCATATAAGAAAAATATGAATCTTCTCCCATTCTCTGATCTGAACTGATTCTTCAGTTTTGAAAGAGGGCTCTCTATTTCCCCTCATTCTTTCCCAGATGCTAACATGGTAGTGTGCAAGTCTATCATGCTGAAAGCATGCCCAGTAGTCCATGCTGGCTTAGTTTGTAAATTAAGCATCCCTATTATTCTTTACAGGACTTTGTTTTAAGTTGCAAACCTTTTTGGAAGTGAATGGGCATGTGCATCTTCATGTGTATTGATGCGCCTTTTTTAATGTGCATTAAATCCAGTACCTCCAATATGAAGTACTAAATTAATGATGAAGTACTAAATGAATGTGCATTAGGCTGTGCTAATGCACAGTAGTGCATTTGCATGCTTTCTTAGTGACACTTAATGCTCAGTAGACTATTTTACTGTGCATTAGCATAACGTCATGGTTTCTTATGTAACACTTTAATGCACAGTAAAATAGTGTACTGCACATTACAACACACGTGTAGATGTGCTCAATGACATTTGCACAATTAATTTATGGAGGACTTGGCATAACACTGCTGCCCAGGAAGATAACTGTTATTTGGGAGCTCTAGTATTTTGGGGTGAGCCATTGTAAAATTTCATCAGCTGAAAAGAATATGCCAAAGAAACAGCAGGATCCCTCAATATAGATTCTGTAAATTGCTTCTGAAAACACATATACTACAAAAGCAATTTTACAGTAAAGTCACATTCTTCTACCTCTACTTGCAGTACCTTCTACTGATCGTACAAATCGTTGTATCTAAGAATTTTCACACTACGGCACAACACATTAACTAAAAAATAAGAGCAAGTTTCCAGTATCAATTAATAACATAGAGAAGAAGTGGAATACACTGGAACTGGTTGACAGTATGCAGCACTCAGTATTCCTCCCTGCACACCTGGAGGCTCCAAAAGGTATTCTCCTGCCCTGAGGCAGAGTTCTTTCTGGAGCATTGGTTGTGGTACAAACAAGCCCATTATAGGTACAGACATCAACGCCTGAGAGAAATCTTGCATGGCAAAATGGGGGAAAAGGTTGATGGAAAAGCTCAAGAGAACAGGTTTTTTTTCAAGATTTGTTAAAATAGTTTGTTATAACAACAAACAACATAACAACAGTAAACAGTAAACAACGCTTTTACTAAAACACCATTTCACTGCTGAAGGAGTAAGAAATTAAATGAAGGCCTGCCTGATTTAAATACAAGAAGTTTAGTTGTTGGTTGTTTTCTTTTTCCCTGAGAAAGCAATGTAGGGAAACACGTGATAGTCTCTGCCTAATTCTTGTGGGGAGCGGAAGAAGTATACCGTTTTTTGTAGGCTCTGGACAGTGCCTAGACTGTGCCTCAGACTGTAGATTGGTTGAAAATTTGATTAGGAAACTAGACTCAAGTCCATTTACGTCACTCCCAGGAAACAGAACACACTGCTTGGTTCTTGTGCAGACAGGTGACCTTTGAACCTTCTTCTTGAACCTGACTAAACCAGACTAAAATTAATCTATGGTGTAACTTCACTGAGTTCAGTGGTCTGTAAACATTGGTGGTTACTTTTGCTTGTCTTCTCATTTCTTCCCTCTCTCGCTCTTTCCCCCTGCTTTACAGCAAAGATAAAAAAAATGTAAATTTAGTCTTATTACTAAGTTTACTCAGGAAACTCAGTAGTCTTAGTCTTATTACTTGTTAGTAACACTTGTTAGATTAGAACTCAGGAGTATAGCCAAAGCCTGATTTGCTAACATTAGCTTAGTACCTCCCAAACTAATATAATAAAGTATTGGTAAATTTAGGGCCTCAGATGGTGTTTTGCAGAAGTCTTAGTATCTTTATTTTACATTTTTGTATATACTTTGACATTATCCAGGAACCAGGAGCAGAGTGGTAATTTCTCAGGTTAAAACACAATAAAATCTAACTAACTTTTATGGGTTTTGGAATTAATATGATTTCTTGTGGCCTGTCCGGATCATTGGTCTGCTTTATGTCACCTGGTGATTCTTTGTGAAAACGCTCAAAAGGGAACAAGGAATTTTAAAGAGGAAAAGAAACTTCATTGGTCTAAATATGCCTGTCCTGTTTCAGTTCCTTTATTCCTTTTTCATTCCTGATTTTTATATTCAATTCTTAGGGGTTTGGGGCTATCAATGATTTA